AAATTAAGAACCTCTTACACATTTCTTACATATCTAAATATTTCATCTTCTCAAGGAAAGGCAAATAATTTATATCATGCATATAGAATTTGCTCTGTAGGCAGCAAAATTTAACAGCATCTTTTCTGCACTGTCTTTGCTGGTGAGTGTAACAGCTAGCAAAAAGGAAGGAGAAAAACGGGCTTGGTTTTATGCATAAGTTGTGATGTGAGAATCTGTGTGAGAATGGACTTATTTTCCCGGAGATTGGAGGAATCTTTGTCAATCCACCTGAAAGTCAATCACACGATTTTTAGGATTCAGTTGCTTCCCACCATTGGTTGCTGCCATTGGTTGCCTCCATTTTCTCTCAGTCTACCAGCACCCTGAAGATGACCCTTTTCATAAGCCAACTGTGAACCAGAAGATGACTTTCTGGTGTATCTGAAGGCCAGCTGCAGGCTCTGTTCAGCTTTGGGCCATGAGGAAATTAGGCTTTTCTGTTGCTAAAGTGACACCCTGTAAGACAAGTTATTGTTATTTTGAAGACTGGAAGAAAGGAAGAACAAGTGTAAGCAAGGATGATAAGAGGTTTGTAAGGAAGAAGTGCTTTTTCACCTGTTGTATTTGTTCTCATTTGCGGATTTGTTAATTGACAGGAAGAAATGCGAAGGAATACCATTGAATGCCTAGAAGAAGAGACTATAAAAAACAGCAAGCTTCTCTTCAGAATGCACAATTTTCCAGGAGAGATTGCTGCAGAGATGACAGGTAGTACCAACCTCACTAGCTCTGGAAAGACAAGAAAATTGAATTTTCCATGCATGCAAATGACTTGAAGAATTCTGTGAAATAGAAATGGTAAATGGCTGTCAATAACTTATTAATGAATGAAGATGGGTGTTTGCTGATGTGTGATTCTGTGAGGGATTATTCTCTTGTATAAGAGTGAGACATCTTCGCTGAAGACTGTGCACAAGCACTAGAAGAACAATGGGGGAACTGCAGCATTAGTTGTGATTGCAGCAGGGCCACAGCTGTTCTCTGATGTTTGTGATGGGGCACTTGAGTGCTCTGCAAGTTCCTTTCTTGTGAAGTAGGATTAATAATGATGAAATAATAAACATTACTTTGTGTGGGGCTCATCTGACCAATGGCAATCAGGTGCCTCCTACAGCTGATGGAGAGGAGCACTTCTTAGACATGATTCATCTTGCGTGGAATAGATGTTTAAAGCAAGCCAACAGAATCACAGGCTTGAAGTACCTTGATCTTTGGCTATGAAGGGATGAAAATACATGAAAATAAAGATTGAGATCATTTTTTTTTGTTTGTTTTCACTTTCAAGATGCCCAAGGCATACTCTGCCAACTCTCATCTCCCTTGATTTAGTGGGCATGGGTGATGGGTTGATGGTTGGGCTAGATGGTGGTCTTTTCCAACCTTAATGATGCTATGACTCCAACTGCACTGTATCCACGAAGAACAGCGGTCAAGTAGCTGATCTGGATGAGCACTGGCATTTTTTCATTTACAGGAGAAGCAGAAGAGTTGGATTTGTTTGGTAACCACGAGGCTGCATGGTTTTAAGTGTGGTGCTCATAGGGATGGCAGCACTGCAGGGAGACTGATGGAGCAGGGCTTCACCTGCAGTACAGTGGAATTAATCAGCTGCAGGCTCAGTGGGAAACAGCAGAGCTTTTTAGTGGAGTTAGTAGTGTTTTCCTTGTTTTTTTCCAGCCGCATTCTCTGTTGATTTGTTTCTTACAGTGAGATCCCTCCCTCACCTTCTCTCTGCCTATAGCATGGTTGCTGTGCAGCTAGCTGGCTGTTTATACTAGCTGCTGCCATTCTGCTCTAAGTGTTTTTGGGTGGGTGGTTGTACCTCATGTGACTGTTATCTCAGAAGCTGAAAAGATGCTCTAGTGCAGTGCCCGTGCACAAAAGAGCTTTATCCACGTAGCCTCTTCACATGGGCTCTTCAGTTTCACACAGCTGTGGCCCCTCAGGGAGAAATGCTGTTGAATTCGAGCAAGGTGATCCTGCTCCTTCTCCATGGCTTCCAGAGCTGCTGGTGCAGATGTTTTTCAGTGAATATTTATCATTTCACTGCATGCCCAGGGGATTTTGTAGGCACATAGTTTGGAAAAGAGCAATGGCTCTCTAAGAATACAGCAGACTTTTTCTTGTTGATAAATGATGATGACTCAGGGAAATTGTGATAAGACTGAAATGCTAGATAAAGGATGTGATTTAGGGGATGTTATGTAGTTAGTGCCTCAGAATCACAGCTATTCCTTGCCAAGTGACAGTACTTACAGTGGTGGGTCCAAGGTTATGAATCGATCCCTTTATGCATTATCTCAGCTATGCCTTTTTGCAGCTAAGAGGCTTCAGTGTGTTTTGTATTTATTTTGTAGCTCTTGTTGCTGCGTCACGTGAATCTGGTGCTGCTAAGATGAATCAGCTGCGGTCTGCATTGAAAAACATTGCTTCTGAAATTGAATTATTGGATGAGAAGCAAACCCTTTGTGAAAGGCAGAATGCTGCACTGTGGTAAGTATTTATCTGAGAGAGGAAAAACATACTGACAAGGTGATTAAGGCGAACTGAAATGTTATGAAAACATGGTGAGCAGTGCTTGTCCCTCACTCCTGCAGCTAGCTGCAGTGTTTCTAGGCAACTCTGTGCTGCAGCAGCAAGCCTGCTTCTCCAGATCTGGTTTCTTGAACATTAGAGCTTGCTTGCTGCTGCCTGTCCCCCTAGAAACTCTGATAAGCTTGGCTGGGGAAAGCTGGCTGCTGCCTGGCTTCTCACTTTGTCAAGGGAGAGTTTTCTCTTTCAGTGATTTTTGTTAAGGAACAACTGCAAAGATCATAACTCTCAGTTTAGGAAAAAAAAAAAAATGTTAGGAACCCTGAAACTAGATGATCATTATGGCCCTTTTCAACCCGGGTGATTCTATGAATTAGTAACTGTGATAGAGATCCCTCTTCAAGAGTTACCCAAAGATACGGAGATGATTCTTGTTTTCTCACTGACAGATTTCGTGTTACTGTCACCCCCTGGCAAGCTGATAGAGAGCTGTTCAAAAATAAATTAAATGCATTTTCTTAGGGGAAGTCTTCTTTCTCCATTTGTTTGGTGCTTGAAGGCAGTCCTTCCATTTTTAATGAGCCTTTTGGAAAATAATCCCACTGGAGTCCCAGGCTGGATGGGGCTGTGAGCAACCTGCTCTAGAGGGAGGTGTACCTGCCAATAGCAGGGGGTTGGAACTGGATGATCTTAAGGGTCCCTTCCAACCCAAACCATTCTGTGATTCTATGAAAAGTATTACTTTAGGAAGGTAATAATATAAAAAACAGAAAGCTGTTCCATTAGAGTGAAGTGTCTTAAATGGTTTTAATCACACGTGCTGGTGAATGTTGTGCCTTACAGTAGAGATTGAGTCTTGAGATTGTCAATATATGAATAAGCAAGTATTTATTTCAATAAACATTCGAAGCAACAGAAATAACATCTGAAGTAACAGAAGACATGAATGGTTTGGGTTTTTTTCAGTGAGGAACAAAAGCGCCTGCAGATACAGCATAAAGAAAAAGTGGACTTACTGAATGAAAGGATGGCAACAAAAATTAACACAAATGTGCTCTTACTTGAGACTGATCGTAAAACAAGAGCTACAGAAAGAGAAATAATCAGAGCAAAGGCAGAGTTAGAAGAACTACAAGAAAAAATAGCTGAAAAAATGAGTCAGCTTGAGAAAGAGATGGAAGAGTGTGATGGAAAGGTAAAGGTTTTGAAGTGCCCTGAGAAATTGTGTCTAATGCTGTGTTTGGCTTTCTGTTTGCAGCTAATTTAGGCCCCCACAGCAGCCAAGCACAGAACTGGCTCTTGTTGTAGATACAGGAGCTTTGTCTGTGTGTGGGGGGTCCTTGTATACACACAAACACACACACACCAAAACTGCACAGTTTCTAAAATCCGTGTTCTATCAGATTATCTCATGATGTGTCTGTATCAGTCCTTCTTGCTGTGTGTGGGACAAATGATTGTATGCTGGGATTGCATCCCTCCAGACACACTGCTTAAAATAAAAGTGCCTATATTTACCACCAAACTGTGAGATAAGGCTTTACTGGTTTTTATATCCTGCCCTACTTTCAGTTGCATACATTTGGTATCCTTTCTGAATGGTAACATAAAAAGAAGCAAATAGATTAAATGAAAGCTTCCTCATAGAGAATATGTCTCCCCAGAACAGAACTGTAGCTGTGTTCCTGGGAAGGTATAATCAGGTTCTTCCACTGAAACAAAATCACATGAGCTCCTGAGAGATCACAGAATCCTAGAATGGCCTGGGTTGCAAAGGAGCACAGTGCTCATCCAGCTCCAACCCCCTGCTGTGTGCAGGTCGCCAACCAGCAGCCCAGGCTGCCCAGAGCCACATCCAGCCTGGCCTTGAATGCCTGCAGGGATGGGGCATCCACAGCCTCCTTGGGCAACCTGTGCCAGTGCCTCACCACCCTCTGGGGGAAAAACTTCCTCCTAATATCCAACCTCAACCTCCCCTGCCTCGGTTTAAAACCATTTCCCTTTGTCTTATCGCTATCCACCCTCATAAATAGTCGTATCCCCTCCTGTTCTGATCCTCATTTGCGTCATTTATTATTTCTTTTTCATGTAGAATTTATTCCTTTGGTACGTAGCTGTGGTTTTGGCAGAAGTTTATTTTCTGCCAATGTAGATGTGCTCGTTTAATTTTGAGAAGCTCCAGATGCTTTACTATAAATTTTTAAATGTGCAGTGTGTTACTCAGAATGAATTAATTGTGTTCTTTTTAATGCAGAGCAGAGAAATGAAAAAAATCCTTGATGCTCAAAAGGAAAAAACTTTGGCAAAAAAGCACATGTTTGAAAACCTGAATAAGAAATTATTGGACCTGCAACGTCTGATAAGTCTGAATTCCACAGTGAGTTCAATGCAGAGTCGTTGTGGTTTGTTGTCAGTGCAAAGATCAATGTTTAACTTCAAAATTGGTCGAAGTGAGGGGGAATTTAGAGTGAAATGCTACCTTTTAAGAAGGATAGTAAGCTTACATGTTAGCTAATTGATTGGCATTGTTGATTAATTACTGAATTGTGAATCTATTTTTGAGAATAGAGGAATCGTAGATACCTTTAGATAGATATAATGAATACAGCCTTTAACCACTGCTTCCTCAGCATTCTCTCTTTGCAGACAGTTGTTGTTTTGACTCTGGAATCTCAGACTTCTTAGAAAACATTAGAGGAAAATCCCATTCAGATGTTATAAAGTCTTGAAGATCAGTGGCAGAAAGGGATTTGTTGCCTGCTTTTTTTTAATAATGTATTTTATTTTATAATATTTTATAAATATTCTTTTAATCTTTTTAATTTTTTTTTATAGGCAATACATGATGAGGAAATTCTCATCACAAAACTGAAAGAAAAGAGGGAATGTTTGGAAAAGCAAATGGCTCTCAAACAGGCAGACGTGGTGGCAGCCTTGGAAAAGAGGTAAGAATTCATGAATCCTTTGGGCTGATCGTTCTGCTAAGACTGCATCCATGTTTTCACTGGGAAAGGTGACAGCAGTGTTTATGAAGAGCCAGCTGAATTCTACAGAGCCTGTGAATTGCTTAACACTGTAAAATAGCTACAATTCTCTTTATAAATTGTAATGCAACAATAAATGGGAGTCTTTCTAGTGGCTTTAAAGGGTTTACAGAGAAGACTTTGGATTAAGCTGGGTTTAATCTGAATTAGCTATCAGTAAAAGTTCCTTTTGGACTAGAGCTGCACCCAGTTAAACAGCACAGGCTGGTTCTATCAGCTGTTTCTCTCTGGAATTGTTTGCTACGTGCAATAGAGCTCAACGTGGAGATCCTCAACGTAGCATCACCAAGGGTAGATCTGTGCTGCTTCCCCTCTGTCTCTGCCATTGGTCGTGTGAAGGTTTATACGACTGAAGGGGATGGGGAGAAATGAGATGTTCTGATGGTTCAGATTTCGGTTTGAACCCCTTTTGCTCTATAAGATGGATTAAGAACCCATACAAAGAAGAAAATAAGAGTTCTGTGAAACATGGGTAAAAGTATCGTTCAGAACTTTAATATTTCTCTTGATGGCAGAACAAATCCATTAATGTATTTGTGGAATGAGTACTGCCATTAATTAACAGTGTAATTACTGGAAAGAAATGAGCTGCAGCCACCATCTGGTCACGGCTCTTGCTTCTGTAGACAGTTACAAATTGCTTATCTTTACCCTCTGGAGTATGGGATCTGTGCTAGGGAGATTGTTTATGCTGACATTTAAAGGGCCTAAAAGTAGTTGCAACTTGGTGAATGACCGTGGACCACTGGCTGTGGTGAATTTTATAGCCTCATTGTAACAGTATTGTCCTTCTGTTCTCATTCTACTGCATTTCTGAAGCTGTTAGACATTATGAATGTCTTTATTTCCTTCAGAGTGTTTTTTCTTCATAACATTCCATTATTTGATGAAGCAGATGAAGTTAAGCAGCTGAGTTAAAGAAAGATTCTGGCCAGTAATTTTTTCCTTCACAGTATTTGGCACATTATCTCAAAGCCTGCTCAGTTTGGGTTTTGCCTTTAATACAAAAGGACACCCTTGTGGTATCTGTTCTTCCTTCTCCTCACATTGCTTTCCTGAGGCACTTCTTTAGGTTGACTCTTGTTTCTTCCATCACTCCCAGTTTGTTTAGAAGATAGTCAAAGGAAGGGAGCAGCTCTTGTGCTGACCACATCCTGTGAAACATACAATTGCACGATGTCCATCAGAAGAAAAAGGATAAATTCATACTCAAATTCTACCACTTTAACCAGTAGATCTCTTGCTGGTAGGGTTTATTTACCTGAAGGCCTGTCTGCTTGCTGTTTGAATATTCTATCAGTTTGTCTATAGAAAATACCGCCCACAAGCCTTCCTTGACTTGTATTTTAAGATCTATGAGTAGAAAGCCTGGTAGTTCTGCATGTCTATAACTTTTTTGCAGGTTTCATTCTCATCAGATATATTAGGGGACACAAATGAATAAGAATATCTGTATGAAATAGATCTCAAATGCATGCAGACATTTATATAGCTTACATTTATATCAAAGGGCCTGAGAGTAAGAATGCATTTCACTGGGAGGGTGGCAAGTGTTGGGACAGGCTGCCCAGAGAGGATGTGGGTGCCCCATCCCTGGTGGTGTTCAAGGCCAGGTTGGATGGAGCCCTGGGCGGCCTGGTTGGCAACCCTGCCTGCAGCAGGGGAGCTGGAACTTGATGATTATTGAGTTCCCTTCCAACCCAAGCTATTATATGATAGCTTTTAATAGGTGAGTTAGTGCTCACCTAACATGTCCAAATTGACTTTGTTTAATAGAAATCAGATTGATTCTGAGTTACTGCTTTCACAATCAAAAATTGCACGAGAAAAAGAGGATTTTGATCAGGAACTTGGAAAGGTAAGAGATTTTTATTCTGGTCAGAATTTTACTAAGCCAGGTTTTGATGAAACAGTCAATCACAGACCTGTCCAAAGTGGAACATGGAATGTGTTAGGTGCTTTGATTTGCCCACGCCTCTGTGTTTGGTGGGTACAACCATGTAGAAGATGTACAAATATTTGCCTTCTACTCTGCTTAGGCTCTGTCTCTCAGTGGTGAGATCTCCTCTTTAACTAAGATCACAGGAAGGTGTTGATATGATACTGAAGGGGGTACTGAGAGGTGGTGTAAACCTGAGGCTATGGTCTTGTGATCTGGGATGCAAGAAACTAGAGGGTTTTGAGACTAGGGTGTTGATTTAGGACAGAGTCCATATGCAATAAAAGAATGGGATAGGCTGTTGTTTATATAAAGATTGTGGTGAGATTTGTTTGCAAGAATGAGGTTGGTATCCTGACTTGGAAATCTGGGTGTGGAATTTTCATAGTGATTCTTGAGGATTGGCTCCATGCTTCTTTATATCATTCATTTATATTGCCTGTGTGGAAAAGATAATTAGCTGTGGCACTCCATCTGCTGATTCTGTGAAGGAAGTCCTACTACTTGAGATTATTGTTATGCAGACTACACACATCAATCTGGGGATGATTTCTAACTTAAGTTAATGAATTGTATCTCCATATTTATGTATATCGAGCAAGGTATCCACTCATTAAAAAGCTGGGGCTCTTAGCCTGGAGAAGAAAAGGCTCTGGAGGGACCTTATAGTGGCCTTCCAGTACCTGAAGGGAGCCTACAGGAAAGCTGGGGAGGGACTTTTTATAAGGGCAGGTATGACAGGATGAGGGGGAATGCTTTAAACTGGAAGAGGGTAGATTTAGACTAGATACCAGGAAGAAATTCTTTACTGTGAGGATGGTGAGGCACTGGAACAGGTTGCACAGAGAGGTTGTAGATGTTTCCTCCATGGAGGCATTCAAGGCCAGGCTGGATGGGGCTGTGAGCAACCTGGGCTAGAGGGAGGTGTCCCTGGCCATAGCAGGGGATCGGAACTAAATGATCTTCAAGGTCCTTTCCAACCCAAAGCATTCTGTGATTCAGTGATTCTAAAAACTCAGACATATTGGCATTAGGAAGTACCAAGTTCTCTCCATTAAATGCACACTTCACTCGCGGTTCTCCTGCACTTCCACAATCACAAGCCAGGACCCCATTCCTACTTCCTTTCTCTCTTCCAGCTTCCTACCCCTGTCTCCCTCAGCCATGACACACGACTTCCCTCCTCTTTAATACTGCATGCCTACCTTCCCAGGGCTCCTTCATGGCCAGTCCTTCCTCATTCCCACTTCATCACTCTTGTGGCTCACAGTAGGAGTCCCTGCCTCTATGTGGAGGAAGGCACCGCGTGTCTGGGAGCAGCACAGCCCGGAGGTTGTTTCAGACCAATTGGTTTGAATGGGGACATGGAAATGAAAATCCAGAGATGCAATCTTGACGTGACATTTGTGTATGTCAATTACATGTATGAAGTCAAGCTCAATTTATTTAAAAGTTCAGATTTTTTTTAAGAAAAGCATTGTAGCAGCGTAGAACATTATTACAAGAGAGGATATTCAGCTAACGTCTACAGACCTTATTTGTAGGCTAATAAATATCTACAAAGCGCTGAATGCCTGAACGACAAACTTAAATTGGAAAACAAAGCTGTGCACCAGAAGTTTGAGCGAGCACTGGAAGAAGAAAAACACTGGGCCAGAAGAAGAGATGAGATGGAGGCAAAGTAGGTTTTACCTATCAGATTTGGGATCCGGATATTTTAATTTTGTCATTTTATGATTTTATGGCTAATGCTTTTCTTGCTACATATTGAGGCCACATTTCTACATCTCTTTCTTCTGTTAGATTGAGGAGGTTATCTGTTCTGTTAGATGAGAAGCGTGAATTTCTAGAGAAACTTGTGATGAAAACAAAAAACCTGGAGAAGGAAACTGAATATCTTGAAGACAGCCTATTGTATGTGAGCTTTCAAAATCTTCTTGCTGGTTTGAGATATTCTGAACTGAACATCAGATAAAGCAGAGCAAACTTAAAAGGGTTTATGATCTTTACCAGTAGGCTGGAATGAAACCTCATACTACGGAGAGGTCAGCTGCCTATTACCCTAATTGAGTTTGCAGTTTCTTATCATGAGATGAGAAATATTCAAATAAGAATTGAAATTCAAATAAGTTGTAGCAGTGCAAAATGTAAAAATTCAAAAACATTGGTTTTGACTGGAAGCTCCATACAGTAGTATGAGGTCTTGGACCAAACCATCCTCCTTTTATGGTGGTATCTGAGAAAATCTGCCTTTGCTCAGATAAAGCAAAGTAAAAACAGGTTAGTCTTGTGCACAAAAATGCTCTCAAAATACCAAATCTTTGGGGTGTGGATGGGAGCAGTGTTGTCCAGGCACTGCAGCTTTTTCTGAACATGAAGCTGGTGGGAGAGATTTGGGGATTTTGTTGCCATAGATGAGGAACTGGCCACGTGTACTGACCCCAGATGTCCTGTCCCAGGTTGCCTGCTTACTGGAGAATCACGACAGGAATGCTGAATGTTGTACTCTAAAAATAAAATCTCAAGTAAGGAGGGTAATCCTGGCAAGGGGAAGAGCTTTTTCTCTCTGTTGGAGGATCATCCTTTGCAAGAGAAAGTGAAAAGGATCAGCCAGTTATATCCTCCAAACCCAGCAGAGCCAAATATTGCATACAGTGTGTTTTCTTTGCTGCCAGTTGTCCTCATTCTGCACAGTTTTTCTTGTGGTGTGGCACCAAAGGGCTGTGTTAATGTGGCTTCCTTGTTCTCTCTCTAAATCCTACTGAGGAATGTTTTGTTATGCAGTGTTGTTCAGCTTATGGATATAATTATAGATAAAATACAAGAAAATATTCACTTGCCTCCCTTTGACTGAACATGAAAACACAATGCATTCATCCTGCTTTGTAGGGAAAGAAGTACCTTTTTATCTAATACAAACAGTGTATTTGTTATTCTTGGCGAAAGAAATACTGCTGCCATGTAAATATGGAGTGCAAATACACTGGTAAAGAGAAGGTCAACTTGTAGAGCAATGTGAATAAAATCTACATTGCAAAACTAAATTAACAAGATACAGAAGTGAAATAGTCATCAGATAGTATCTTAACACTAGTTTGGAATCTAAACTAATGACAGGAAAGGAAGGGCTGTTACAGCTTTCTCATACTTGTAAATCAGGCTACATCAGACAACACAAAACCTCTTAGAAAAACTGTTTGAGAGACCACTCTTTCCCAGTCTCTATCATCTTACTTTTTATTTTGTTTGTACACAGTAACCTTGTTCTTTGAATCTTCGCTGGTCTCCTGAGAAGCAGCATCCTTGTCCATCTAGCCCAAATCATTTAATTTCAGTGAATGATGCACAGAGCTCCCAGTCAATTTAACAGGGTCACCGACGTGGAAACCAAAATTAGGATCTCTTGTTAATTTTTCTTTTCTCTGAGAATGATGAGTAATATGTTCAGGATGCCACCATTCGCTTCATAAGATTGATTTTCATTTTTTTAATATGACATTTCAAATCTAATCTGTCAGGTTTCATTCAAAGAGGGCAATCTTTGATGGATAAAACCCACCGAGATGGGAAACCCAACTTTATGATTATGAACATAATTTTGCTGAGTATGGAATAGAAACAAATAGGACTTTCTCATTGTTTTGCAAGAATTACTTAGGGCTACAGTGCAGCACTACTGAAATGTCTCTGAGTGCTGGTTTGATCAATTTTCCATTTGAACCAATAAAACCTTTGGAAGAGACTCCCCTCCTACCTCTTTGTGACCTTCTGGATTTGGAGCAGGCACTTCCCGTTGTCTTTGAATCTTGAAGGAGTGAGAATCACTGGTTTCACACCACCAACCTTTTTTCATTGTATTGAGCTCCCCTAGAATACACTGAATGCACGTAAGAATCGTGCACTTTGATACCAACTCTTTTAGTTTTAAATGGATGTTTTGAAGCTGGGAAACTCTGTAATGCACCGTTTGGCTGAACGCTACAGAATGTGCATTTCTGAGATGTGATCCACAGGTACCACGTTGCCTGTGTCCATCTAATAAATGTTTAATGAAAGGAATATTTTGAGAAGCTCTGCTAAAAATTTGAGGGGAAGTGCTTGCAAATGTTCAGCATTGTTTCTGAAAGTTTCTTTTTTTTTTTTTTTTTTTTTTTTTCTCTCCACAGAATAGCCAAGGAAAGTAATGCAAAGGAACTGGCATCTCTAGAGCAAAAATTGAAGGCAGAAAATAAGATGAGGTAAGATGAGAGAGTGCGTGTACTGCATCTTTAAAAACAAAGCAGTAAATTGATGCATTGCTGCACTTAGTTGCTATTACATCAGAGATATAAAAATAAAGCCTTCCTATGTAAATATCCAGTGATAGAAAGGCAATAGAAGAACATTTCCTCAAATATACCCATAGTTTCACTTGAATAGTTGCTGCCAAGTGGTGAGAATCATTGAACTTACCATGTAAGTTGGTCTTCATCATTATAGGAGTAAATGTTCTCCGTAATTCATAAGGTATTTGATATTTACCAGGATAGAAAGCTGTGAAGCTGTTGGTTATTTATTTTCATTAATTTCAAATTTAATTAATGTCCATGGGTCACTGAATTGAATATTTACGTCATGCTTTTGTCTCCAAGATTCAATTGTGCTCAATCCAATAAGCTGGTTTTGCTTTTCCCCTCGTTAAAATGCCATTCTAAATTCTAACTCTTTTAATAAATAAGAATCTTTCACCTGACTTCCACTATGTTCATGTCAGCAGCTGTTCTTGTATCAGTGCTATGCTCTGTCCTTGTAGTTTACAAGCCCCAGGGATTTACGAACACAAAATCATGTCCCTTCTAGCTTTTCAATTTGCTAAGGAAATTAACCAAATTATTTAGTCCAGACTTAAGAGAAGACTCGTTGCCTTTAGAGTCCTTCTCTGTGTTCAGTTCAGAGACACTTTTAAATAGAAACTCGTAGGGTTTTTTTCTGTCTTTCTATGCATCTTTTCTAGATTCTGTCAGGATCCCGGGCTTCTAGCTGAACCCCTTTGATTGTAGTCCTGAAGTTACAGAAGATATCATAGAATCACAGAGGGTTGGAGGGGACCTTAAAGATCATTGAGTTCCAACCCAGTGCCATGGACTGGTTGCTCCCCCTCCACCCAGCTCAGGCTGCCCAGGGCCCATCCAAGGCCTTGGGTACCTCCAGGGATGGGACACGGCTCTGGGCAGCAGTGCCAGGGCCTCACCATCCCTTGAGTAAAAAATTTCTTCCTAACATCCAACCTAATTCTCCCCTCAATAATATAGAGGAATATTCCAAATTCTCAAATTAAACTTGCTCCAGTAATGCTGTGTCTTCCTTCATTCCCTTCGCTTTTTCTCCCAGTTTCAACTTATTTCTGCTTATGATCTGTCACTAGAGTGATGCTTCAGTGGAAGCTACTGTACTTAGCAATGCAAAGCAAACTCTTTCTTTTGGAGGAGGAGAATATAAGCAGAAGAGTGAATGAAAGGATAGAGACTGGTGAGAAAAGGCATGCTGAGCTTCTTCTGGAGGTATGTTAGAGAGCAGGTAGTATAACTGAAGACATTCAATGGTACAATATGTTGATGCTATAAATTCAGAGTAAATTCTAAGTAGGTAGGCTCCAAGGGCTAACTCAATGCAAGTTAATAAGCATGTTATCAGGTGTAAAGATTTCTGGTATCTAAAGGTCTTAATTTTTCCATCCTTAGAGGTATTCAGTAGCCATTTGGACATAGTCCTGGGCAACTGGCTGTGGGTGGCCCTGCTGGAGTAGATGGGATTGGATAAGATGACCTCCAGAGGTCCCTTCCCACGTCAACGATTCTATGATATCTTATCATCATTAATAATTTAAAAGCAATTCTTTATCTCAGCAGATGTATTTTCAATGCAGATTACTCTCCTTTTATTCTGATTGCTTATTTCCTAGTGGTTCAGATAGGCAATGTATATTTCAGAAATCCCTGTCCTTTGTTCTGTTTTCCATTATGAGACCAAAGAGCTTGAAAAAGAACTTCTTCAGTCTGAAAACCAAATCAAAGTGCTGACTGAAGAAGCAATAAAGAGAAAAAATGATTACAGGAGTTATAATGAAGATTTCACTAATAAAATAAAATATCTGGAGGTAAGCTTTGTGTTCGCTTGCTTGTTTTGATGTTTTGTTGTTGTTTTTAATTAACCCCGGGTCAATTTCTGGTGGATGAATTGATCTCATTCCATGCAGAATTGGCAGTGTTTGCTGCATCACATTGGAGGTAGGCTCAGTAATTATTTCAAGACATTTCACTCTGTTTTTTTTTTCTGCTGTTGATAGTGGGATTTTTGTTTGTTTGTTTAGTGATCAAATAGTCTTATGAAGAGACCCTCAAATTATTGAGACTCTGCAAGCAGTACAAACCCAAACATGTATTAATGTACATAAGGGCATCTCTGTCAATCAAGTGCCATGCAGGGAAGGTTGTTCTCATAAGAGATGCCTCCCATTTTAAAATAAAAATCCAGCACAAACTAAGTTACAGAATGCATCTATTTAACTGTGAACTACCCAGTATGTAACTTGTTCACATACAATTTGTTTCACTGTTTTTGGGTAAACAAGCCAGCATTCATGGAAATGTGACAGGTTGGTTTTAGACATTGTTCAAATTCTCCTCTGAATTATGGCTTTTGCAAATCCATTTGAGTGATGAGTGGTCTGCTGTATATAACTCAAGGCAACTTGGTGTCAGTGCTCATTAAAACACTGATAGGTTTTCTTTCCCAAAGGAAGGAAGACAGAGAAAGACTGCTTATGAACCATGCAGGGCTTTGGGAAATTTCAAGCACCTCACTGATCTTTGGGATACAGCATATGCTCTGTTCCCAGGCTCTTGGTCAACATTCTGGCTGGAATCATCTCCATGACAAATGACGAGTCAAAAACTTCTTTGGATGGAGATGGCACGTACATTCAGTAGCTTTTGATGGAATTTTACGCTATGCTGGGTAGAAGAATAGCAATTCTTTTATTACTGATTAATAATTTCAGTTCACATACACATTTATCCTTTGTAACAACCTACAGTATATAATTCATACAAGCCCATCGTTGGCCAAATACAACAGTGCTCCCAGATGGTTTGAGGGAGGCCTGCTCTCAGGTTGAAATAAATCTGTATTTTCTTTAATGACTCAGGTGGTAGAACAGTGTATTAATCTCATCTGCAGAAGGCAGTCATGATAAGAGTGGGAGCACCCTCTACAGTGCAGAACTGGAATTCAGAATGTTTTTTAACAAATTGGAAAAACAATTTAAGGGGGGAAAAAAAGAACTCTTTGGGCTTATCTGTGGGTTTAGATACAAATCTGTTACAAGCCCATCATGGGAGAAGGTCTTTAGGTCTAGCAGTGAGAAATAGGACTAAAGCTGGCAAGTTAAACATACGCCAACAAAGAGATGTAGTGATAAAAAAAGACACATATCAAACCAGTCTGTATAAGGAGGCACAAAGGCTGGCAGGGCACATGATGCAGGTTTTCTGCTCCTCCTGGATTGGCAGGACACTGGTGGAGCATTGTGCTGAGTAATGATCACCTCATTTAAAGGAGGATTAAAGTTGCTTAGAGATCCAAGAGACAAATACTCCATTTTTGTTGTACTTGGATCCAAGATCCAAGTACAACAAAAATGATCAGGAAAAAAACAAATAAGGTTGAAGAAATGTGCAGCTTTTCTAGTTAAAATAGGTAAATCTAGGAAAAATGGTAACTGACAAACAAAAAAGGATAGGTAGGTGTCAAACTTTTCTCCTTGTTCACTTGTTGAGGCAAATAACAGAAACAGAGTAGATTTAACTTAAAAAGTTGGGACCTAAGAAAACACTGACAGCACAAACTGTGGAACCCTGAAGTCAGCTGTGAGACGTGGCATCCTCTACTGCTACAGATTTAAGGACAAATCACACATCTCTCATGGGTACTTAGGTCTGATTGATTCTGCTGTAGAGCAGGGGGAGATGGACTAAGATGAACTCTTGAGATCACTTCCAGTATTGCTTCCTCTGTTTGTTTTTCTTTCTCCCCTCTGGTTATGTTTAATTATTTATGCATGAAATGCTGCTTTGATAGATTATCAATTAGCATTTCTTTTCATTAAAGGATGACATCAAAACTGCAAGTGAAAATCTTCTTAAAATAGAACACAAGTTTAAGGTGAACAGGCTAACTTTGGAAGAAACCCAGAAGGAAAGAGAGGAGAAGTATGCAGAATATGAAGAGTTGAGGAAATCATTTTTGAGTAAGTGTGAAGTAGCTCCTTGACATAGTAGGACTATTTCTGAGAATAGATTGCCATAGCCCTTTGTCTGCCTGTAGTTAGGTGAACTATGAAACAAGTTTAAACTGAGCTCTGCACAACAACTAGAATCCATAAACTATGGATAATCCTGTAGCATAAATATGGAGTATTTTTAAATGCCAGACCAGTTAAACAGCTCGATTACTGACAGAACCTAGTTTGCTTTACAGTAGCTTTACCTAAAGTTCATTACACTGCCTTAAAAACCCTTTCTCTGCTTTGTAGAAAAGAAAGATGAAGAGTTACAAATCCGAAGAGCCATTCAGAAATCAATCAAGACTACTGGGATGCTCAAGGAGGAAACTGTAAAAGTTTCAAACTTAATCGTAGTACTTCTGTAACGTTTCCATCACCAACTCTGCTTTCTCACAGGCACTGTGAGGCTGGGGTTGGGGAAGACAGGCTGGGGCTCAGGGTGTGCCATCATCTCTGTTGCTGTGTTTCTGTCTGGTGTGTGCCTCGGATCTCTGCTCAGCTCATAGCCCAGCTCATACTGAGTTGCTTTTAAGCCTTGTTTTTGTACTGCCTAGGCACATGGGCAGGCCAAAAAGAGGCTGGTGAACTGAGGCCGTTGTGAACCTGCTCTTATTCAGATGCTTGCTACTGCTAGGGCAGCGTCCTGTAAGTGGGAAAATCTCTCTGATGACTCTTCCACATCAACACAGAAAGCAATGGTTCTGTATGCTGGAATATCCTGTGACAATAATGTGACATGTCTGTCATTGGGCGGCCCTACAGAGGGTAGGCCACTTTTGTGTCTGAGCTGGTTCCTTCGTTGTGGACCATGAGCATCCCTCTCTGTATTTCTGCCTCTTTTCTGGTAAGAGAGTATAGATACCTGTCTCAGATGTTACTTTGCAATTATTAAACAAAAGGTGCTGTGTTATAAAAATCCCTTTTCACTTTGAGTACAAAACTCCTGTATGAAGGTCAGCTAGCAGTGAACAGTTTATTTACAGCTGGAGCTACGGAAGCAATTGTGCATCAAGCGTGATGCTGCAGTCAGCCAGCTGAAGCATCAAACTGAGACTATGAAGTTGCTGGAAAGAGACATCTATGAGATCAACAGAAAACTTGACATTGTGAACTCTGAGAACTGCAGATTCAAATTAGTGAGTATATTGAAGATTAATAGTGCTCGTTCTCAATCAGAAGTTCATTTGCTGCAGGAAAAGGCCTTCCTGCCATGTGAAGGGGGCTGAAGTGAGACATCAAGTATGCCTGTGCTGTTTGGAATATGGGCTTTTGGGCAGAGTCTGTATACCTTTCAAGACCTGGGCTATCAGAATAGCAGAGCCTCCTTCCCCACAAAGCATTGTAAATGTGGTTTTATTGCCAGCTGCTTTCAGGCTGCCACCCAGACCTTAAACCACATCTGTGCAGTTGTGTGCACTGCTGGTGCCTTCAAGCAGGCGCTCCACTGCTGCAGGTAGGGAATGTGTGCCTGCTGACATTGCAGATGCTAGATACTAGCTGCTGTGCCCATGCCATGCCAATGTCCATGGGCATTTTATCCTCATGGACACACAAAGGCTTCCCTTGGCTGCAGGCAGCTGGAGCTCAGTGATCTTTCATGTCCCTTCCAACCTAAGCCATTCCATAATCCTGTGATCCTATCTTGAGGAAGAGAGGAAGGAAGATTGTGTTTGGTTGTGCTATTGTGGCTGATCTCAGTGCCCTGTCCTGTTCTATGGGAACGATGGATGTAGTCGTATCGCGTTGATTTTGGCAACTGTGAAACTTTATTAAGATGACATGGAAGCTGTTGTCGAAAGAAAGCTCATCCAGAGGGCTACAATTAACCTTTGCATATCTGTAAGTTGAAACGCAGCTTCTTGTAGATGTTAGGAAAAAAAATTCTTTACTGTGAGGGTGGTGAGGAACTGAAACAGGTTGCCCAGTGAGGCTGTGGATGCCCCTTCCCTGGAACGAGAGGGGGCCAGGGTGGATGGGGCTGTGAGCAACCTGGGCTAGAGGGGGTGTCCTGCCTACAGCAGGAGGTTGGAACTGAATGGTCTTAAAGGTCCCTTCCAACCCAAACCATTTTGTGATTCTACGATTCTTTTTTGCTGATATCTTTAGAAACATTGAAACTGCGTGAAATTTATTTAGGAAAGTTGCAAACTGTGGCAAGTCATTCATTTTTATTTTACAGTGCAATGCACAGATGAAAGAAGGTATCTTGGCAATGAATTCTGAAGCTGAAGGCCACCAGTCAGCGATAGTGAAAATTGGGAATGACCTGGCAGTGCTTCGTGGTAATGTTAATTACAGCCTCCAAACAAAAAGTGGTATTTCAGTCCTTGCATCTTCTTCACAGAACAACCTACCATAGCTTAACTGTCAGCTCTGTTGCAGGTTTTCTTCTGGAGAGATGGTCAGAGGACAGCTCTATTCAGAAGGTGAAGTTCAATTTCGTATCAAACAATTTTGCACAAATATTTCACTTATGATGAAAAGCAACATTTCATATTACAAGTATGGTACTGCCTTTTTTATTTCATAGAGGGGCACAATATTAAACCTGTGTTTTCCAATGATATGTATTTTTTCCTGGTATCAATCCTTTTGCTCAATCTGTGTTCAACCTTAAACCTGTCTGTCTGTCTTTATATGCTAATATTCTTACTATTATTCATTCAGATCATCAACCTTGGAATATTTTTACAGTTGGGAACGTCCTTCATTTTCAACAGGAATTAAAGCAAACTGTAAGGAAGTTTTTACAAAATATTCCACCAGGACAGGAAAACCTTCCTGTTTTTAATGCAAGGATTGGGTCATCAGTGGAAAACTTCCTGCAGAGCTATTAGTTGGGTGGTTGGTCAAGCTATGGGAAAAGAAGATGAAAAAAAGCTTTCTCAGCATAATTTTGAGGGAAAGAAACAATCTACCCCATGTCATTGCAGGAATTTCTGGAGAATGAGCAGGAAATTCTGAATGCAGTGACAGCCCTGCTAAGAAAAATCCAGCAACGAGAGGAAAGGGTTGGTGACATTAACAGCAGGCTACGAAATAGTCTGGAAGGAATGGATTCTCTGCTTGAAAAAAAATCTAGAATGGATGGTGATGGTAAGACGCACCAAAACCTTTTCACTCTGTTTTTTCAGTCCTAGAGGAGTTCCATTCAATTTGTTCTCAGCAGTCTGTGATAAAGCACACACAGTACAGCTGTGTTAAGTCGCCCTCCTGTAGATTTAGGCTTTGTGGTAAAGCTGGTGCATTTTTTGAAGAACTGGGCCTGGATATTAGAATTAATAGTAGCCTGGGTGCTGTTATCATCTTTAATTTCCACTTTTTGGAGGCCTGTGATAACAACTGTTATTACACTAGGGCATTAGTTTGCTTTAGTTCCTCTTTTTAGCTCTAAGCCTATGGATTCCTGCTTTCCTTCCTAGTTCACAGGGACCTTGTTTGTAATGAGTCACAGGCTTGGTCAGGGTATGACTACTGCCTTGTTACAGAATGCAGTTTCTAATTGTGTTGTGGAGCTGATAAAGCTGTGCTATTGAGGCTGCTTTGAAATTGTTGGGTCTGGGTTATATGCCAGGAAGAGGGAACTAGCAGAGGAAGGCAATGTCCCAAGGAGGAAGCCAGGCAGAGGAGGGAAGGACAGTGTATAGCAGAAGAGCTCCCTGCTTCATCTGAAGGCCAGTGTCAGTACTGCTTCCTGGGCACAACATGCAGAGGTTTTTCATAACACATGAAATCCATGCATGGAAACAAATGCATGTAAACACACACAGTTCTCAGTACTGCACCTCTGCAAAAGCCTTTTCCTGCCTGTTGCTGCCCTGTCTGCTCACTTTCCTACAGGGAGTACATTAATGTGGCAAACGTGCAAATACAGACAGAAACCTGTATTTGGGTATTTTAGAGAAAAATTTACCCATGAACCTGTCAGTTTTGTAAATGATATTTTAACACACGGGGTTTAGGACCATACTTCTAGAACTCTGTATTCATGCATCTGCAACTGGCATTTTCTTTCTAGCAGTATACAGAACAAGCTCCAGAAACTTACAATGCACTTCCTCTCCTTTCTCCTAGAATCAGATGCAGTGAAGAATAAATGAGGAAATACTCAAGATAGTCTTTGGAAGACAGAAGCCAGCATATGGGATGAGAAAATCAATGCTATGTTTTATTCAAGCCCTCCTCACTGAAATTTTATTCTGAAGGCTGCCTTGTTTTATTCAAAGACCACCTAAAATATTACATTAGTAAATAAACAATACAAGCAAAATACTGTACAAGAAAGTGTCTGAAGCTTTTATGCAGATTCAGGATGATAAATACAGACAATTCCCTTCATGTATACTAGATGCTGTCTTCTTCATAGAAGCAAAGGTTTTTAATACTACAGTCTTGTTCAGAAATGTTTCACCTGTAAGCCCTGTACAAAGATAACTTCTTTTAAAACAGAAGCTTTCAAATGCATAACAAGCACTCAACCTGTTTAATCCAGATCCTTGGGACAGCACTGTTGGCACAAAATCCTTCTAATGTCCATTTCCACCTTCTGAGAGTATGCGGGATGGCTCAGTGTACTTTGCTGTCATCAAGTAGAAGATGGCAGGTGCAGGAACCAAGGCAAGCAGTGGGAGATCCTGCTCAAGCTTGTCCAGCTTGGGAATGGAGATGATTCCATAGGCATGAAGCAACCAGTGGCTGAAGAGGACAACAAGCCTTTTCTTCCTGACAAGAAGATCCTTGAAAGACTGGCAAAATACAGATAATATTCTGTTAGCATGATGCACCTGGTATTTAAGACACATCACAGGTCACACACAGACACTGCAGAGGCCTTGTGGATTTAAGGCCTTCCAGCACACAGCAGTTTCTCAGTACACCACAAGAGGGAACTCTCATAGTAACCTCTTCCAGCTCAGAGAAGTCAAAGAAGCTTGTAACACACTGCTGAGAAAAATCCAAGAGGCAGTAGCCTTTAGTCCTTCAAGCATTTTATGATGAGTTTCAAGATAGAAAACAAGTTTACCTACCTCCACTTCCGAAGCAGACAAGTACACAGCCAACGTAACCAGAGACAACACCAGTATGATGTATGGAAAGGCATAGTCTAAAGGCAAGCAGTAACCAGTTCGTTAGTAGGAAAAAATGCAATGTTATACATTTCAGCAGAGATTCTTCCACATTACCAAGGGTGCTCACCTACTACCCTCACATCAATGCCTACAGCAATAGAGATCAGCCATGCACAACTATTCAGTGCTTCCTCCTAAGGTTTTCAAATTATAGAGGAGAGAAGGAGAGGAGAGGGGAAGAGATGCAGTGTCAAAAGCAGCAGACACTAAGATTTCTAGGTGAAGTTACTGTACACATAAATCACTAACTGGGAAAGGAAGGTAAAGAAAAAAGCAGTCAGGCTAAGTGGAGATTCTGTTACACCATCCCCTCCTTGTGAGAAGGGTGCTTGGAGCTAAACTAACGTGGAGCTGAGAACCACAAACTTACTTACACTTAAATCCAATTCTGAAATCAGCCGTGCCCTCACTCTGAATGAACTTCTCTCACACTCCACACTATGCCTGTTTTGTACCTGTTTTGGTAAAGGGACAGCCTCTAGCAGCACAGGCAGAAGGCAAACCAGTTTTGGGCTACCAACAAGGAACTCGTTCATGTGACACTTCTCATAGACAACAAAGACCTTCAGCAATATCCTCGTTTGTGAAGCAAAAGCTATCGTGTTCCTCCCCTCTCTGCCATGCATCATTTGTCAGGGTGCTTACTGGTAGGTTTCTCAGTGTTAACAGGAGAGAACTCACAGAGCAGGCCTCCTCCAACTGCCTGGAGCACGGTGAGGACTGGGAAGAAGTAAAGTGCCGCGTAAATGCTTTTAAATCGATCAGACTTTCCTAGGCCACAGGCAATCTTCTTAACCAGGAAAGGTCGAAGTAGCATCATTAGCACAAGGCAGAAGGCATAATATATAAACACAATCGTGTACCTGCAAATAAGAGAGGAATTCCTTAAAACATGCAATCTTGTTTGTCCTGCAGACTCAACTGAGAACAAGGTTTGGTGTCAGCTGTAACGCACAGCTGTCAGGAGGGGGATATAGAGACACAGAACAGTGGAGTGACTTTTCCTACAGAAAATGGTCAACATCCAGCAAATGGGAATAAAAAAGGAAGTCCTACATGCTTCACAGAGGAATATCCTAGAATATGCCACCTTCTTAGTGATTCTGTCCTGCTTTGCAGGGAGGTTTGACTCAATGATCTCCAGCGGTCCCTTCCAAATCCTAAAATTCTGTGATTCTTTGGTGGCAAGAAGGAAGCTGATCACAAACTACTCTCTGGAATACTCCTCTGTCAAGTTTCCCCACTGCATGCTGAGGATGCAGCAAGAGGAAAACACAGGAACAGAGACTCTATCCTCACCAGTTAAAAAAGAGTCATTAGGTATTACATGTTTGACACAAAGAACAGCTCAGAACATGAAAAGACTTGAGGGGATTTGATACCCAAGTGTCCAAGGTATACAGGAACATGTTCTACAGCTTTGAGAAGAGGCACTGACAGAAAAAAACGTACAAAAGGAAACGACAGCTCTGAGTACAGAAGCATTTATACTCACAGGGGATAGACTGCTTCATGAGTGCAGTGCACTGTAGTGATGTAATCAGGACTTGGGTTGTAGAGCATCGTATACCAGTCTGAAAGCTTCTTCACCTTGCAGGAACGGATGTGCAGAGAGCCAGCAGGATCACTCACTAGCAGAGTAACAATTGCTGCAATGCTGCACTCAAACAAGGCAGTGATGTGCTGCAACAGTGCACTGGAACTGCAGAAGAGGAAGACATTTACTACTGCTGTGTGACCACTAAAGTAAATCTAAATGCTGACTGTGAAGCATAAGTCCAAAGAGGACAAAACCTTCCACAGTTATGATTCACTGTGACCAAGGATAGGACAAAGTATGTATGAATATATATATTCATACAAAGTATGTATGTATGTATGAAGAAATAAACAAAAAACATTCAGTATTTTAAGCTGAATGTGAAAACTCATTTTCCATATCTTGGATGCCTTTGTATGTAAAGTAACTGGAAATCCTTCCAGCTTCTAAAATGAACTCTTACTTTAGTATGGGCAGAATAAAATAGTATCACAAGAAGCATTCTTCTAGGTATGCAACCTGATGCAGGAATGCTGCAAGAGTTGCCTTCCAGGAAGGCACAGGCAGTTGCTTCCAATTGGAAGCATAAAAAGCAAATATCCATGGTCAAAATAAATCACTGCTTTCCTCACTACATCCAATACTTCACAAAGCTGAACTACTTCCTGCTGGAACAGCACAGCTTCTTTGTGCTCAGCCCTGAGACGCTCACAAGTAAATACAGGCACAGGCACAAAAACCCCATCAGGGGAGGACTAACAGTGCTCACAATGCTGCCATTTCAAAGAAAGCAGGAGTGATAACAGCGCATCTGAGAGCTGAGACAGGCGAGAAGGACCCAAATCTCTCTCAGAAATAAAAACCCCATAAAACTGCCCTGTGCTACTGCATTGGCTCAACCAGCAGGTGCTCTGCAGGACTGCTCAGTCCATTATGCTCACGGTTACAAGATTTTCTTTTTAAGTAACATAACTGAAGGAAGGGTACACTGACCTCTTTTTGCCCGAATACCACTCAATAAAGAACCAGTGCAGAACGAGGGGCAGCATGGCCATGAAGCCCAGGTACAGCCAGTCATAGCGGTCCGGGGATCCCACACACTCCCGACAGATTTTGTTGTCGTCAGTTCGTTGCCCTCTGGGGCACACCTACAGAAAGCATGGGATGGATTGACAGAGCCGCTGTGTTCCACTAGGAACCCTTCACAAACCATTCGGGCTGTTCAGCCTGGAGAAGAGAAGGCTCCAGGGAGACCCAATAGCGGCCCTTCAGTATCTAAAGGGAGGAGGTAAGAAAGAAGGGCACAGATTCTTCAGCAGGGCCTGCTGTGCTAGGAGAAGGGGAAATGGTTTTAAATCAGAAGAAGTGAGATTTAGACAGTATATAAGGAGAAAAACACGAAGTATTAACAGGACAGAAAGTTTATCATATTTTTAAAGAGAAAAGACAGCAACCTCAGCAATCTGTCAGCTGGCACTCGCTGTGCTCTCCCCATTCCTCACTTCTGGATGCACGAGAGCACGGCCAGCGCGGAGCCAGCCGCCCCGCAGGACTTACCCCACAGTCCCCGTAGACCTCTACGGAGCCGTTGACGGCCAGGACGATCCTGCCGCAGTACAGCCCCAGGCAGGCGGGCTGGATGTCAACAGCTGCGGGGAGAGGGCAACCCCGTTACCGCGGCGCTCCGGCCCGACCCCACCGCCGTGCCCGACCCCGGCCCCGCGGCCTACCGGAGCGGATCATCCCGGTATCCTGGCAACACAGCCCCCCCGCCGCAGCGAGCCACTTCCGCTTATGTCACTTCCGCCTCCGGACAAGCCTCGCCTCCATTGGGCGGGGCGCTCCACCTGGTGGGCGGGGCTTGGAGTCCACGGGCGCGGCTACACGCAGGGGGCGGGGTGCTTCTCCCGCTCTGTCCCCGCCGTTCCAGGACGCGGGAGATGGCGGCGGCTGCGGCGGCTGGTTGCGGTGACGGCGAGGGCCGGCAGCTGCCGCCCCGCTCGCTCACAGAACCGACGCTGCACACCGTGGAGATGCACACGGGAGGCGAACCGTTGCGGGTCATCCCGCGATTGGAGGCGATGGAAGAAGCGGCGGCGGCCGGGATGTCGCTGCTGGCGCTGCGGCGGCACATGGCGGCCACGCAGGACCACGTGCGGCGGACGCTGATGCACGAGCCGCGGGGCCACGGCGACATGTACGGGGCCGTGGTGGTGCGCGGCGGGGCGGCCGCCGACGGTGCCGACCTGGCAGTGATCTTCCTGCACGGCTCCGGCTACAGCGCCATGTGCGGCCATGCCGTGCTGGCCCTCGGCCGCTTCGCCCTCGACTTCGGGTTGGTGGCAGCCCCGCAGCGCCCAGAGACCGCCGTGCGCCTGCGCTGCCCCTGCGGCCCCGTCACCGCCTTCGTGCCCTGGGATGGGTGTCACAGCGGTAACCCCGTCCGCTTCCACAGCGTGCCCGCCTTCGCCGCTGCCACCGGTGGGGCCCGAGCTGGTGGTACCGCGTTCTGTGGGGGCTGGGGGGATGTGCCGGGGTGCCGTGCAGTGCTCTCCCCAGTTCCTGTATCTCTCAGGACAGGGATATGGCATGAAGCATCGGGTGCCGTGTTGGGTATGGGAGTGCTCGTGGAGCTCACGGCTTCTGTCAGCTCGGTACTGTGACCCCTCCTCACCACCCTCTCTTTCCCCACTCAGACGTGGCCATCGATGTCCCAGGTCGTGGCAGGGTGGTGGTTGACATCAGCTACGGTGGCACTTTCTATGCCTTTCTCAGCGCGGAGCAGCTGGGTCTCGACGTGTGCTCCTCAAAGACCAGAGACCTCGTTAGCGCAGCCAGCGCGGTGACGGAGGCAGTGAAGGAGCAGGTATGGCCCCGTGCCTTCCCTTCAGGGTGGTGGCGACTGAGGCCCTTTATCACCCACAGCGCTCAGATCCACAGGCTGTACTGCTGACGGCCCAAGTGCTGTACCTGTCCTGAACCCTTTGTGTGCTCTCCCAGTTCAAGCTGCATCACCCTGAGAGTGAAGACCTGGCTTTCATCTATGGCACCATTCTGACAGATGGGAAGGATGCCTTCAGCGAGGAGCCCACCACCAACATCTGTGTGTTTGCAGATGAACAGGTACAGAACAGCCTGTTCTGCAATCACACAATATCCTGAGTTGGAGGAGACCCATAAGGAACATTGAGTCTAAGCAGGAGCCAGACCACCTTTTTCTTTTCATATCTAAAACCTGCTTATATGCTGGGCTTGATCTTACCGGTCTTTTCCAACCGAAATGATTCCATGATTCTACTTTATCTTTCCATTTGTGATGTATCCTGATGTTGTCCAAACCTCTGGGCCAGGAGCACTTCTCCCACGCAGGGAGAATTCAGGGGAGCAATATTCATGTCTGTTTAAAACCAGAACGCTTGCTGGCTCGTGTTCTCTTCCGACTGTAGGTGGACCGAAGCCCAACAGGCTCTGGTGTGACGGCTCGCATTGCCCTGCAGTACCATAAGGGACTCATCCAGCTGAACCAGAGCAGGATCTTTCGGAGCAGCACCACAGGGTCCTTGTTCACGGGGAAGGCAGTGAAGGCAAGCAGAGCTTCACTCTGTTGAGGAGTGCTGGGGAAGTGTTCTTGCTTTTCCACAAGCCTCATGCATCGCTTGTTGTGGCTGGGGTGTGGAGAATGTCCTGTCAGCTCTGTGCTGATCCAAATCCCTCTGCAGGAAGCCAGGTTCGGGGACTACAACGCCGTTGTGGTGGAAGTCTCAGGGGAAGCCTTCTATACCGGCACGGCCACCTTCACTGTGGAAGAGGAGGACCCACTGAAGCACGGGTTCTCCTTCAAGTGACCCGAGGCACTGCACTGTCTCAGTCACTGATGCTCCTCCTGCCCGTGCACTGCTCTGCTTCCCCTGTGGCCCGGCGCAGTGTGCAGAGCAGCAGGACCGACCTTGGCTGCTGCCATAACAGCTACTGCTGTCCTTGAGGATGACAGGTGCTCCTCTGCAGTGCTTGCTGGGAGCTTGCTTAGGAGATCTGTCTTCAAATTTCTGTGCCTTACTTACATTTTCAGATTATTCAGATTCCTATTAAATGCCAGCTGAAAACACTGCTGTCCTCTTGTTTTCACCTCCCAGGTGCTGTTGCGTGTCTTCATCACACTGCTTCCCAAACCCTCCTCTCTTCTCTCAGACCATGGGCTAACTTTGGGTTAACTTTCAGCAGCAATAACCGAACTGGAAAGTTGGAACCACTCTGACCTTTGAATGCAAACTCATTTACTTGTGATTCTGCTCAAGCAGCAGTGCGGAGCTCAGGGCCTGCAGTTTCCCCTCTGCCTCTGGGCAAAATGGCATTCAGTTATTGGGGGCACTTGTGAGAATTTGCCTTGTGAAAGTGTTTTGAGAGCGCTTAGCTCTGGGTGCTTCTTGGAGGGAGCAATGTGGGAGGAAGAGAAGTTCCTGGAGAATCAGCCAGGGTCCAGTTTAACGGGATCTTCTGTGACAGTACGGGAGGAAATGGCTTCCCACTAAAAAGGAGTGGTTCAGACTGGATAAAAGCAAAAGATTTTTTACAGCAAGGGTCGGTGAGGAGATGGGGGCACGAGGTGGTGGGGATGTGAGGGGACGGGGGAAAGAGGCTGTGCTGGTGGAGGAGAGAGGAGATGCAAGGAAACAGCCGTGAGGATCTGCGAGGGGATGGGGGCTGTGAGGGAGGGGAGGTCCGCGAGCAGAAAGGCGACAAGCCGAGGCCGCGCACAGGCGCCGAGGGGCACCGCGCCGCGGCTGTTCCCGCCCCGGGTGGCCGCGCGGGCGGCGGGGCGGTTCCCCGGGCGACGGCGGCGGGGCGACGTCAGCGGCGGCAGCGCGGGGCGGGCGCGGCGCGGGCCGGGCCGTAGGGCTGCGCATGGAGCCGGCGGCGGCCGTGC